GGTCTGGACGCAGGGGCTAGAGGAAAAATCCTCTGCCCCCGTCGGGGATCGAACCCCGGTCGTCCAGCCCGTAGCTAGTCACTATACCGATTGAGCTATCCCGGCTCATACTTGCATACAAGTTGTAAAGGGAATATTTTACGTGCGTTGTAAGTTAAAGATTCGTACGTATGCTGTGGAGTGCCTTCTGGACATTGAGCGCAAACAAAGCGAATGTTGCATACGGTACAGGCAACGCTCCGGGGGCCTGGAATTCCCTCCCTCGGGAGGGCTTGTGTATATTTATAGTATAATAATAAAATAACTCAGATGGGAAGTATCTGTGGAATGATTACGGCAAAAACAGATCTCAGCTTTCGAGCCACTAGCGAGTGGGTTTGTTTAGTTTTCACGAAGTCCGTAAAGTGATCGCGTATAAGATGACAGGTTTTGGATTGCCAGTTGGGGCAGCGACTTTTCTCTCTCCACTCGGAGCTTTAGTTGTAACTTCAAAGCTCGCCCGGAAATGGAAATTTCCTTCAGTCCAAGATTAAGTGAAAAATGAATATTTGACTCCAGCTTTATAGGTATGGAAATGATGCGGGTGAGAAATGATTGCTTTTGAATCAACCTTGAGAACCTTCGATTAACCTTCTTGTTTAGTCCATGTGTATCGCACCGTGATTTGCATAATGCTTAAGCCAGGTGGAAATTACTGTTAATTGCAGAAGAATTTGAAGGTAGTTATTGCTTGTACTGGAAGTAACCCTCGTGTTTCTTGCAATATAAGGCACTAGACGTACGGAAGAATGCTAAAAGAAACAAGAGTTTTCTTTACCCAGGAAGTTAACATATGTCGTGTCATCTTACCGTGTTGATTTGAGAGAGGGACAAGGAATAGAAGCTTTATTCCGGATATAATGCCAACAACGTTTTCAAATTTGTGAGGTGACTTTCTACTGTAAATATGTCAGCAGCTGCAGCAGTGCCTTCGTCTTCCGTGTTTTCTTCAGTGCTTGGCTTCCTCCTGGTACAACGCCTTTGAACGGGATGCTTTTGATGGCATTTTCTAATGTCGTAGCGTGAAGTTCAGATTGGACGGGAATGACAACGCATGCGCAAGGCGTTCTTTATGACTCGTTTTTTGCACTTCGGAAAGTCATTCGACAGTTGTTACGTATTGTGAAGTTTAAGTACGTATCAGACGTTTCAGAACAGATGATTTTGGTTGTCCACTGGTCTGACTTGTTGCCTTGGTTAGACGTCAGGTCTGGACTGCCTGCAGATCGAAAGAAATCATTTTGCTGAAGGATCAGTAGCGTAGGATTCCGTTTGTTGGGAGAGAAGCGTTGAAACGTAATGGTAAAATTTAGGAGCAATGATTTCTTGGAGGATTAGTTTTGATAATCAGTCAATGAAGAATACAAGGAATCGTATACTACTTATACCTCGTGAGTAATGCATGCTTTTAGAAATGCAGTGGTAGCTGTGTGTACCACGAGCTTGAAGGACCAGTAACTAGTGATTTTACGCACGTGGTGTGATTCTTAGAATATGCATTGAAAGTAATCACATTATTTCTTATTTGTACTGATTCATAATCAGGCCATCAGTTGTTTCCGACTTTCGTTTTGTTTCTCTTTGGGGGATGGGGGGGTGTAGAAGGTCGAGAAACCCTCCAAGCTCCTCTAATAATAATAAATAAATGAATTATTTCGGAAATAGCTGCTGCACTATATACCTCAGGGGTACATAGAAGTAAATACAATATAAAGTGGTGAATAGATTGAATAATAATAATAATAATATAAATAAATAAAAAGAGATTGATGGCAACTCAGATGCGAGTCGTATTTCAAGGTTTCCTGCTTTCTTCTGGGAAGCTGTAATTATGAAGGGACGCTTGTGTTGAGGTTCCATCCCTCCATACAACTTTCCAGGTTTTTTCTTTCTTTCTTTTGCAGCCTTGCACCTGTCTCTTCTTTCCTTCCAAAGGTAAAAGCGATTGGTCCTTGAAGTTTAGGATAGGTAAAGCAGGTGTCCAGGCAGGGTGTCTGCAATATTTTTTGAAGGTTACTACAAGGAGAATTCTGAGGATTGGTCACGGTAGGAGATGGCGCGGCATTTATTTGAATGGATCTAAACCAGGGGTGGGTAATTATGCTTATTCGCGGGTTGGATGTGGCTGTTTCGAGTGATATAGGGCTGGCGAGCCTCATTAGGCAAGCTTTGTAGTACTTAATCAAACATATTTAGATGTGAATCATGAATTGGGACTCTAGACCTTGAATTGGCATGGAACCGAATCTGGATTGATTATTACTATTTCGTCGTATGAGGAAATTACAAATTTATAAAGGGATGTTGATCGTTGTTCTGGGTAATGGCTGCAGATTAACCTTCTGTAAAGATTACAATGTATGGCCTCCTGATTTGAAAACCCAAGGTCCTCATATCCTCATGATTTGACTAGATGGATTTTGAGAGGTGTGACATTGGTGTGATTGCCGAGTAACTCAACCAGGTTTTTACTGGGAGCTGTTTAAGCAAGGCTGAGACGGGCAATCCGTTAAAGATACTTTGTATCCAG